TCAGTCGTATTGGGGGCGCATTTTGGGGACTCAGGTACCCAGCAACTATGACCATTTATAAAGGTGTTATTGTGAGTATCCTGAGGTATGCATCTCCTGCCTGGAGCCAAAATCTCTCGCACAGACAGAAATGTAGGTTGGCCACGATTCAGCGGATGGCTCTGCTTCGAGTATCCAGATCATTCAGGACGGCTGTGCAGGTCTTGGCAGGAGGAATACCTCTCGACCTCCTGCTGAGAGAAGACTACTACCGTTATAAGATTAGGAGAGAATGCTTAGCGGCTCTACCGGATTACCTCCGAGTGAGAATAAGAGATGATCCAAGAAACTGGAAGAAGATTCTCCGGGAGGATACAGTAGAGGACTGGAACCGACGGTGGTTGACGACTCCCAAAGGAGCTACTCTAAGGAAGTACTTCCCCACCGTCAGTTCGCGACTAGAAGCGACTTGGGTCCTCCCGGACTACTGGATTTCACAGATTCTCACGGGGCATGGGGGTTTCCGAGCAAAGCTCGTTCAGTATGGTATAAATATCGATCCCCTATGCCCAAGTTGTGGGGTACCGGAGACCGCTGAACATGTTGTGCTTACCTGTACGGTCTATGAGTCACTGAGGGCGAAACTGTTGAGAGAAACAGGTCTCTTTGTCCTAACAGAGAGAGATCTTCCTCAACTTATGGACAAAGAAAGATACGATCATTTTAAAAGTTTTATATACGGATGGAAAGAAGTTGTTCTACCAACCCACTTCTCTTTGGGAAGAAGAAGAGAAGCTGCACCGGGGAGACCACCAGAATAAGAAAAAAGTATACCAGATGCAAGTGAAGAGAAGAGCAAGCTGTGTGCACAGCTCAGAAAAATAATGTAATAGTCAAAAATGCAGCAGTGGGTTGTTATGTAACAGTAACATCCCACTGCTGCAAATACCCGTATTGCCTTCAGGCAGGGGAGGGTTGAAAATAAAATAAAAAAGGTCCAAATAAGTTTCAAAATCTTCTTGTAGATCAGTAATTTTTTATAAATTGAAATTTGAGATTTTCTAGTCAGTAGTTTGTATAATTGGCCGTATCGTCGATTAAGTTCTTGTTTTTTGAGTTTATGTTGGTTTCACATAAAAGCGTACAAGCGTAAAAGTGGTATGTTTACTTTAGGATTCATTTATTTTAATGCACCATTTCTTACACCAGTGCTCAATCAGGGAGTGGTGCCTTTACAGATTTATGGTGCATTTTGAGATTTGAGATGGATAATGGGATGGTAGCGTCATCAGTAAATGTTGCCAGGAAGGTTTCGGGATGATCAGGTACATCAGTGGTAAATAGGCTATACAGGACGCGACACAAAACGCTGGCTCCAGGAACGCCTCCTTCAACTGGATAGCATTTTGAGAGTTCTCGAAATACGCAATCAGAGAGGCAGGAGCGCGGGGACTTGGTATTAAAACTGGGGCAGGTAGGTTTTAAGTTTAAAAGGTAGCCCGGCGTGGCATACCCGTTCAAAAGCTTGTGGTTTGAGAGAATGCACCAGGAATGCAACCGATCAATATCGTTTGCTTTCCAGGGCTGGGGAAATATGATCAACTACTCGGAATTCTTGTTAGAATGTGGAGTGTTGTGAACAAAATCTGAACTGCTGGGAAGGAAGATTTTGGGATTCTATAAAGAGTAGAATCTGTTTCAGGAATGTCTTTTCAAGGAATTTTGAAAGGATTGGAAGTAGGCTAGTTTGTCTGTAGGAAGTCAAGCATTTTGAAAGATTTGCCTGGTTTTGAAAATAGGATAATAGTGGAATGCTCCCATTAAAGAGGAAAGTGTGCGGTTCATAGAATGCTGTTGTATATGTTAGTGAGAAATATGTCAGCTTTAGCAGGAAGTTGTCAAAGAATCCGAGAGATAAGGAGATCGTATCCAGAACATTGAGGCGGAGGTAGTTTTTCATGTTATGTTTGACCTCAGAAATATCAACTGCTTTAAGAGGTACGGAGAGTGGCATGGGTGAAGTAGGGAATTCTACTGTTGTGTGGATGGGGTTGTATTCGGATGAGATGTGAATTTACAATAATGATGTTAGGGAAATTCCTTTGTAAAATTTCAGTATTATAACCAGCAGGCATCATACACTATTTTATTTTTATTTATTTGTCTAACATAAATATATCTAAAATAAAGTTCAATTAGTATTGTCCTCGGAGATATTTAAAAGATCTAATGCTTCAGGACTTAAAGTTTTGTTTCTTTTGTTTGCTATGTCCGTATGTTTTTTTTTAATGAAAAATTAATATGGGTCAGAAGATAAAAGTAAGTATGAATGGTTTCCCCTAATTTCTCTGATTTTTTTCAAGATAGGAAGGAGGTGAGGCAGTTTATGAATTTTGAATTGAATTCATAAACAGCCTCAACATCTTGCGGTTTATCTAGCCTTCTGGAGATACTAGTGAAATTTAACGCGCCGAAATTCTACTATAAGTTGTGTACTTAAAAAAGCATGATAAGGTATTAAATACATCTAACACAGGCATCAAAATATCAATAATTAATAAAATATTGATATAATATTACAAGCTATTTCCTCCTCACACAAAATAGATTTAGAGAAATTCGTGCGCTTTAGAAAACATACTGCAGTAGAGATCGTTTTTCATTTTAAAAGGTATTATATGCCTGCGTCAGTACATAAAATATTAATACATGGCCCTCTTATTATAAAAGAGGTGCTCCTCCCCATAAGTTAATTATCGAAGAAACCTCAAGAAGCATGTCACAAAAAATTAAGAAAAATAAAGGCAAACCATTCAAGAAAAATGAACAGATCAGGCAACAAACGGCGGTGTAATACATTACTTACTTTTATCTTCTGACCCATATTTATCTTTCCTTAAAAAAAAACATACAAATATAGAAAAAAAAAAAAAACTTCCTGAAGCATTAGATCTTTTAAATATTTCTGTGGACAATACTAATTGAAATTGATTTTAGATATATTTAGACTAATACATAAGAAAATAGTGGACGATGCCTTCTGGGGATACTACTGAAATATAACTAGCCGAAACTCTACTATAAGCTGTGTACATAAACAAATGTGATAAGAAATGTATACCAATTAAATAAATAATCAAGTATATACAATATTGGTGTTTTTAGGTGAAAGATTTAAAAGTTATGTTTAGTAACACTAGCAGATCCAGGATTTAATTTTGGGGGCTTCAGCTCGAAAGGTTTTTTTTTTCATAAAAATGACGATAATTGATAATGACGACTTTGGAAAAAACGAAAGAAACTATCTATATGTAATGGTCTTTAAGTGACTCCTTAAGTAATTTTAAATGAAATTATACGAACAATAATACTTTAAAAGATAATTTTTTAATATTTTTTTCCTTAAAACATAGTTATATTTTAATGAATAATTTGGGGGTCATATTTTGATATATAACATTATAAATATATTGGGGTTATATTTTGAATTATTTTTCCCCCATTTGGGAGCGGGAGCTTCAGCCCGAAAGCCCCCCGTAGATAAAATTGAAGGATATTTTAAAACGATAGAAGCTATGAAAGATGAAAGATGAATCCTAGAAGAGATGAAAGATGAAACCAGTCATGAAATAGGGAGTGAATGATAGCCACTACGTGCCAAAAGAAGAAGAGGACGAAATATGTAAAAAAGAGACAAATAACATTAAAAGTAGGTAGACTAGATGGGAAAGGCTAAGTCAAGAAAAGATTGGTAAACAATGGAAAGTCTTGGCTAAATATTAGGTTTAGTTCAAAAACGAAATAGCTTTTTTTCTCCTAATTTAATTGTTTTAAGTTAATTTTATTAGGTGAACTATGGATTAAGAAAAATATTTTTTTTTAATTTTGAAAGCATTTTTAATTTTGAAATTGATTAGAAATTTTTCATTAAAATTAGTCTAATCGACCCAGCCTAGATTTTTTCCTAAGTCATTAATATATATAATAACTTTGAAGGTGTAATTAAAACAAATATAGAATGATTTATATTATATGTACAAATACTTTGAAAAATGAATGAATTAACAATTCGATTTGCGAGCAGAATTTACAATCATCCACTAGATTAAGGTTAAATTAAGGGGGCAGTGGCAATAGTAGGCAGGGACCAAGTGTAAGTTATGTTAGACACTTAAATTTTTAAAATAAAAATTTTAAAAAAGAGTACATGCCATACAATATTCATATAACTTAAAAGAATTATAAACCTAAAATAAAATAAGGATATATTGAAATGTTAGTCTAATTTTTTATTGTAAACTTATTTTTTTTAAACTTTTTTATTGAGAAATATTACAATCTGTCTCAGTTAAGGACACTTATGATCGAATTCAGAGAGTACATTCATACCGTAATATATTAATATGAACAACAAAGTCTGGCATCTTTATTTGATGTTCTTAAGAGGAAAACGCCCAGATCAAGGAGTCAATATTATTAGCCCCTTGATTTTATCTTTATTTAATTTGTTCTTTTTGAGTTTTAATCACATTCAGATTAATTTAAGAGTTCGATATGTCAATTCACAAATATTCCTATGGTGGATTCCTCAGTTTGTATGTTTAATGTTTTATATATATATATATGTATATATGTCTTTGTTTTATTGCTCGTTCCAAATACTATGTTCATCAACATCACACTCATATCATCACATGTTTTTCAATAGAGTTTCTTTAGCCAGAATACCACTTGGACTTGACCCATCCCGTCAGATTTTGGTAGTTTTCAAATCTTTAGTAAATGGAAGAAAATGCAATTGAGCAAGTTGCTTTCTGACGAATTGTCCTAGAGTCCTGTAATTCTCCCCACTTCTGGATAATGACATAAACGAGCGAGACAGAGCTAGGGAACGAGAGAGAGAGAAGACTGACCGCCCCCGGGGGTGTGGTGGGGCCGTGTCCCTTAAATAGCACCTCCTCCGATCTGGAAGTCAGTTCAGTGCCTAGTACCATCCATGGAATAGCACCAGTATCTCCAGTATGGCGGTAAGCAGCAACCTCTTCAGCATCTCGCGGTGGTCCCAGGATTACATTCGGGATATTTGCAAAGATTCGATAAGTGCTCAAGTTTTCAAATGAACTTTTCAAAATATTCGGTTCATTCTTTATTATTTGTTAACTCAAAATCATGATCCATTTCTTTTTTCATTTGTGCTTACGATTGCAAGAAATCTTTACTTTGAATCAAAATGTGCTTTTTGACCCCATCAAATCACAATTTTAGTTTAACTCATCAGTTTTCCTTCTCTTTTCTTTCCAATGTTGATACAAATTTTCTGAAATAATCATTTAAAAACTCCAATATTTAGAACTTGCAGCTATATTCAAAGTAAATAACAAATTAATTCTCGGACATTTCAGTATTGCATACACAGAATCAATGGATATATGTGTTTTTTCATAGCATCACGTTTCAGCCATAGCCAACCATGGCAGAAAGAATGTACAAAAAAAATATCTTAATCTTCTGGAATTTTATTTAATATCTTTATTATTAGCCCACCATCACAATTTCTTGCTTCAGGCATATATTTATTGAAACAGTATTAATTAAACTCCGAAGTTTAGCAGCATTTCTTTAAATAATTTATCGTATTTTAAAAGTTTGAGAAATAAAACGAGGTTTTTCAATTAAAATTTATATAAAATTTAAAATAATTTATTGTCAGTTTGTTCAGAGCAAGATCGCAATGTTGTAATTAAAGTTATAACCTAAATTATTTAAAAAAACCGTTTCACAAAACCTCAAGGTTTAAGATCTTTTTCACTTTTTAACTTCATCTTATTTAACTTTATAAATTACTACTAAGGAACTGCTACTAATAAATGAAAAATATTCGATTTAGTGCTGGATAAACTATTTTTAAATTTTCAAATCTGTTTTTTAAAATTAAAGAGTCTTACGATTTTTATCACATCATTGAATGAAGAAGGTTTTTATTTTGTTGAGAGTATTAAGCGGGCGAGAAACATTTTGTTTATTTTTTTAACTGTTGACTTGGAGAACGAATTTTTCATTTATTGTCACATGTTAGGGGTTTGAGGTTACTGAGTTTCAAGGGTGCAATTTTTCTCCTTTCCTTATTATTTCATCTTATACGGTAGCAATAACATTATCCGTTGATAAATTATATTCTATTTAATAAATGATTGCATTAGGATATATCCATTTTAAAAGATACAATGATGACGAGACAAATATTACTAAAGTTTCCCATTTTTATGTAGACTATACTTTGGACTGTGCTCCTCCTCTGCCTCAGCGGCGGCCTGGCTGAGGTATCCCCCAACCCCGCAGAAGCAATCGCCCCGATCGAAGCAGCCGTCCCCAAGGTTGCAGAAGCTGACTTATTGGCACAACCATCAGAGTATGTTGCCACATTTAATATTTCTTGGTCCTTAATTGACAAAGAACCCCAGTTAACGTTTCCCATTCTTATAGGATTCAAGCAGCAGTAGAACCGGCCGCTAATGCAATAGTCCCAGTAAATGACCAAAACGGCGTTGAACCCGTGAATGATCTGACAGGGGCTGAGGCTGTGACTCACCATCACATACACTCAGGCCATGTCGATCATAATCACAAACACCACGGTCACGCAGAACACAAACATAAACATGGTGGTCATCACCACCATGGACACAAACACCACGGTCATCACGGACACGGTCATAAACACCACGGTCATTTTGGACATGGACACAAACACCATGGTCACCATGGGCATGGACACAAACATCACGGTCACTTCGGCCATGGACACAAACACCATGGTCACCATGGACACCACCACAAACACGATGGACACCACGGCCATCATCACAAACATCATGGACATGCCGAACACGGTCATAAGCACCACGGTCATTTCGGACATGGACACAAACACCATGGTCACCACGGACATCACCACAAACACGGTGGACATTTCGGACACGGACACAAGCATCACGGTCACCATGGACACGGACACAAACATCATGGTCACTTCGGACATGGACACAAACACCATGGTCATCATGGACACCACCACAAACACCACGGTCATCATGGACACGGACACAAACACCATGGACACTTCGGTCATGGACACAAACATCATGGTCACTTCGGACATGGACACAAGCATCATGGACACCACGGTCATGGACACAAACATCACGGTCACTTCGGCCATGGACACAAACATCATGGAAGCCATCATCATGGACACAAACACCACGGTCATCATGGACATGGACACAAACACAGCGGTCATCACGGACATCATCACAAACACGATGGACACCATGGACATCACCACAAACATCATGGACATCATGGTCATGGTCATAAACACCATGGACACTTCGAACATGGTCATGGACATGGTCACGGCGGCGGCGGCGGTGGTGGTGGCGGCCATCATGATGCAGCCCACGATGAAATGCCAGTTGCTGACGAAGTTGCCGCAATTGGTGCTGATGAAGTAGCAGCCGACTTTGGTGACGAGTTCTAAGAAGTCGACCAGCTTCAGAAGTAGTAGGCTTACAACGCCAACTTGAAGATAAACCAAAGAGTAGTAGTGTATAAGTTACCTCTGTAGTGTGCGAAAATGCACCTATCACTAATTCTGTACAACGCACACTTCACTGTTGTTATTGTTTGACTGAATTGTTAATGTTTTCTTGTTGAATAAATAGTTGTTGTTTTCAAAAATCTATTTCTTTTTATTTTAATTGGTATTCCAAATTATTCACAGTGAAATCACTAATATGATTTCTTTTTAACTTAAAAATAGTGTTTTCATTTCTTTTATAAACACAGGTTACAAACAAACACATCTCGATGTACCATTTAAAACAAAAAAAATGCATTTCTTTTATAGAGTTTATTGTACTTTACAATAAAAAAAAAAAAAAGATAATATTGCTTGAAGTAGGATCTTAACTTTAAACAATTGTAGAGCTACAATAGATAGTTTCGGGAATATTTTATAAATATATTAATATTATTTTTGAAAACAATTTAATATTACAGAAATACTTAGTCGATGACAATATAAATTTAAAAATTAATTTTTATCTAAGTTTACATTCGATTTTTATCACATATATGACTTTAGGAATCATAAATATACACCTTTTATTTGATTATTTGTCTTGTACCGATATGATATTCGAATGATATATTAGAATTTAGATAGAAAAGTCATTAAAATATATTTAGACTATTGAAGTTTTTCGAAAGCTATTTAGCCATTCAATGATATTAATTTATTTTTTAAAACGTAAAATAAAATTTCAAATACAAAAATTTTAATTCCTTTTATTGTATATCGGAGTTCATATGTTAATTCTAAAATCTTCATTACAACTAACCTTTGATAGATTCTCTATTTTCCGATCGCAATCTTTTCTGTATAACTTCTTCTTTGGAAATATATTTTAAGAAATGAAATACAATATACACATTTCATTGAAAATATGTTTAGCATCAAATGTTAATGTACACTTCAACCAACAAAAGATAATGCGGATGTTTCGAGTCATGGAATCTAAAAATATATCACAGGTTCTTATTTAGATTGGTTTGAGTCTATATGGATCGAATATGGCAAGACAACGAAACTCATTACGCAGCGATGAGAAATAAGAGTTTATCTACTTATTTTATTCAACATTTTATCTATGGAATATTAATGAAAACTCAATGTATACCAGAAATTACGAAGGAGAAGAATGTATGTATCACATCCTGGAGAAAACAGGCATTGTGGAGGAATCTGGAGAGGACAGGCTCTCAATCTGGAGCTGTCAGTCAACCCAACGTTACAGGCGTCTTCTGCTCCCTGCTCGACTTTTCACTTTTTCTCATTTTCCGAAGCGTTCGCATAACAGCCTTCTGCTCCACTAATCACGGGAGCTATTGCGTAATGGGGCGCGGTTAATCACACGAAACGGATCTTTACTGCCGCCTAGGCAATTCGAAATGGCCCTTTCAGTATTCCTACCAAATTGTTACATCGATCAAGTGACTCAATATCCCGTGAGAACAGAAAATAATTACGGTGATCATCAGCCTATGAAAGCGGTTTTGATAATACGAACAGCTAAATCTACTATTCGGTTAAACAGAGCAAAGAGCTAAATATTCTAGAAGACAATAGTATAAATCAATAAAATATCATATAATATACGGTCACTCACAAAGATCACCGATTTACAATTTTGGTTTATTATTTTCAATAATGAACCATTATAATCGAACAAAAAATTTGAAAACTGAAAACTACCCTCTCTCCCTCTCCCCCCTCAAAATTTGTTGTTACGTTACAGGATTTGTTGTTACGTTACAGGATACGTAGAATTACGAAAAACGAATAACAATTTTTTGTCCATCCGCCCTCCACGCATTTTCTCCGTAACTACTGAACCGAGTTTTTCAAATTTGGATTTTAAGTCAGAAGTCACCCAAAGATGATCCTCCTACATCGAGATGGCGACCGAAAAAAATCTGCTACTATAGACTTTAGCGCCTAAACGAATGTACAGATTTTAATGAAACTTGGTTAAAGTCTTCTTCTCGATGCCCTTGGAATTTATCTATATAACATACTTCAACGAAAAGAAACTGGGAAAAAAGTTACAAGGCTGTCAAAATTAGATTCTAGATAACTCAAAAAGTATACACTTTTTTGTGGATATTGCGACTAGATGTTTCAAAGGTATCTAAATTTCCTAAAAGAGGAAGAAAGTATCTCCGAAATCTGAGCGTGGTTATTTCAAAGTTTACATTTCCTAAAAAAAACATCGTTAAAATCAGTCCATTTGGAGAAAAGATATGGTCTCTAGGTGTTTTAATGTTCTATTGACATAGTTTCATTGATAAAATATGTTATACAAATAGGTGTGCCACTAACCGTGACCTCCCTTTGTCAGTTAATATTATAATAATCCCAACGAGAAAGGAAACACATAATATCAAGTGGTAATTTCTGTCGTGCGACATATTGTTACGGCTAAACGCGAATATCATCACTAAATTACCTATAACTTTTTTTACTTTAAAATTTATATTATGCACTATAATAAATCCCTCCAATTATAAAGCATTATAGTTCCAATTAGAAATTGAAAGTCTTTCGACAAAAGGGTTAGGTATTGTTACCTCACTATCGAATGTAGAGAAGCATTGTATTCGTGCGGGAAGTTAAAAAACATTTTGCATTCAGAATTCTAAATTTCCACTCGTGTTTTACGTTTCCGACAACAAGGATCAAATTTAGTTCTGTATTTGTCTGTCTATAATCAATAGAAAAATAAATGTTGTTTAAATGAGAATGATGATTTGCGTAAGGAAGTAGGTAGGGGATTTAAAAACAAGGTACCACACATAAGAAGGATTAAACAGGCTTGCGGGCTGGGATTTCGTGTGGATGGACAGAGGAGCAAGGAATAAACAAATCAAGAAGGTAAGATGGTTTTTTGATAGTAAAGGTTCGAAAAAGGAAAACACCTAGGAGATACTGCCGTTGCAAAACTGAATAGAGCCACTCTATCTCGGCATACCAAGTGGTGACGTGGGAGCGCCTAGGGGGTTCCAAAAATGAATCCAATGAAAAAATTCATCAGTCTCTTCAATTTGATCTCAAGTCCACCAGATAGGCCACCGTATATGAGGCAGCCATAATCGAAGAGAGGAAAAATGAGTGAGTAAACTGGGAGCTAACGGGTTTTTAGGAGCATAGAATCATGGATTCTCAGGAACTGTTTTAGGTTGGCAATTGATTTTTGGATAATTTGGAAAATATGATAATAAGGAATGGAGGAAGAATTAATCAGATGCTAGGAACCAATGAGAATGCCTTTGGTCTTCTCAACTTGCTTAGGTTTCCGTATTCTACATTTGTATCGTATTTATTAAAAAAGATCGAACTTAAAAGATCGAATTTATCTCTCAATGGATTTTGAATCTGTTCTCAATTTCGCATTTCCTCGTTATTAATATACGAGTTGTACGATAAACGTCCCATGCCTGTCATGTCATTATTTCCTGTATCGTCATCACATTTGCTGATTGTCAACAATATTTTGACAGGCGCAAATATATTTGTTATAGACAAAAAAAAAAAAAAAAAAAAATAATAACGATTAAATTTACTTAAAACAAGATTATATCTATATCGAAAAAAAAACAAAAAAAAAACGAAGACAGTAAAATTTTGTTTATAATAATCAAAAAGGCAAGAAATGAACTTATGGACCAAAAAAATTGTAGAGAAAAGAATGAGGGGAAAAACTAATATGAGGGGCTAAAGAGCTACTGTGTACAAATGACAATTTACTTATTTATTATTTTATTCACTTATTTTGTTAAAAACTAATATTAAAATGAAAAAAAAAAATTGATAAATTCTCTGGAATGCTTATTTTTTCTAATACTAATATTATGGTTTTCCTGGATATTGAGATTCACGTTACATGGGTGAGGAATATACAATATAGTATTTTTTTTTTCTTAAATTACAAAATTATATTTTGAACAAAACAGATTTCAAGCCTTAGTGAAATAATACGTATTGGGACGCGATGTGTTACACTGTGCTTGTTCGCATAGGAAATTTAATTCTTATAATTTGGTTGTGATGGTGTGATGGACATCGTTTCTACTTTGTTATTTGTATATATTAGTATTGTCATACTTATATATTTAATTTATTAAATAAACGTTTTGGGGGTTTGAAATAAATAAAAAGAGGGAATATATATATATATATATATATATATATATATATATATATATATATATATATATATTAATTCATGCTATTTGATCGACTAAATGAGTGTATGGAAAGATAATCATAAATTTCAATTTTTTTTATCATGAATATGAAATATTAAAATTACAATAGCATTCTGCACACTGTTGTAGCTCAACTATATATATATATATATATATATATATATATATATATATATTTTTTTTTTTTTTTATATGAATATTTTCGGATTGTTAAAACCAAACTCTTAAATTATTTCTTGTTTTTTATTTGTATTTATTTAAAGTGCATTTGGTTTTACTTTATCAAGAAGTGAGGTGATATTAAGTATATGAATATGCTTATAAAAAACAAAAACCTAAATATAAAATGTTGGTAGTCACTTTAAGTTCAACGTTCCCGTGTGTTAAATCCTCAATAACATCCGAGATGGCAAATTGTGGCAAAATCTGAAAACTGTTTTTAGAAGTTCAGACTTTTGTTAACAACAACATCTATTTAGTTTTTCGGGCGGTTGCGGCCGGTTTGCGAAATATAATGATATAATGTACAATTGTTTAGAGCGTCGTACTATGGTCGGAAAAGGCATAAAAATGGCAAAAACGCTGGGAAACATTCAATTTAGGGAAGATATTTGAAAAACTGGAGTTATAGCATGTCGGGCATTCTGAATTAATATAGCATAAAACCATTTTGGTAAGACCAACCCTTATTATTATTATTGTTCATTTTTT